TTTTGTTTTTTTGTTTTTTTTTAGTAAATCTTGCCATTCATTTAAGTACTTTCTAAAATGTCTTTAGGTCTCAAAGACGGAATTAGAGTGGTTCATCCAGGATTTGGAAAAAGAAACTAAAAAATGGCAACAAGAGAAAAAAGAAACCCAGGAAAAAGTAAAAGCCCTGAAGAAGAAAGTCAGAAGGCTTTCCATTGCCAGTGAAACGTAAGTAACAGTCGAGAGGCGACAGTTGTTCTTGTGTTTAAGAAAAAGATTTTGGAATTTTTTTGGCGGGGGGGTCATTTTAACATTTCTGATACTTATTTTCAAACTATATGAAGCAAAGTGAGAATCTACAGATAGTGTTTCTGATACTGCTTTCATGCTGTTTTTATCTCATTTTTAAAACTCACCTAAAATTTTTTTCTAAACTTAACCGTGTTTTAAGATAAATTATATAAAAATTGGAGTAGCCTGGGACTGAGAATCAATAAAGAACTGATTCTTTCTAGTCCTGACACCACCTCTTACTTTGACCATTACCCTTGGCCCTCATTTTCCTTATCTGTAAAATGAGGGTTAATGTAGAGCTGAGGTTCTTTTCAGCACTAAGATTCTGGGATGATTATCTAACTTGTAACTATTTTCATCCTGAATCTTTAAATTACTAAGTTTGATCCTATAATGTGAAGGGCATGGTACTGTATACAGAACCTGGGTATAATTGTCAAGTGGCCTGTCTTATTTATCTAGGGTTGCTATAACAGAAATACCACAATTATTTGGTGGGTGGGTGGGTGGCTTAACAAACAGAAATGTATTTTCTCACAGTTTAAGAGGCTAGAAGTCTGAATTCAGGGCACCGGCTCTAGGGACAGGCTTTTTCTCTGTCGGCTCTCGGGGGAGCTCCTTGTCTCTTTTCAGCTCCTGTTCCTGAGTTCCTTGGAGATCTTCATGTGGCAGCATCTTCTTCCCCCATCTGTGCTTGCTTGCTTCTGTGCCTAATCTGCTCTTTTTTATAACTCAAAAGTGATTGGCTTAAAACACACCCTACACTGATAAGGCCTCATTAATAGAACAAAGAAACCCCTATTCCCAAATGAAATTACATCCACAGGTATAGGGATTAGGATTTACAATGCATAATTTTGGGGGACACAGTTCAGTCCATAGCAGTCTACCTGTTGACCCTCCAAAATTCATGTCCTTCCTACGTAGAAAACACATTGACCCTATCACATCATCTCAAAAGTCTTATCTCATTCCACCATCAACTTTAAGTCCAAAATCTCATCTTCTAAATCATCTATATCAAGTATGACTTTGGGGTATGTTCCATCCTGGGGCAAAATTCCTCTCCATCTGTGAACCTGTAACTAGAATACAAGTTATTTGCTTCCAAAGTACAGTGGTGGGGTAGGCACAAGATAGATGTTTCCATTACAAATGGTAGAAACTGGAAGGAAAGAAGGGTTCATGGGCACCAAACAAGTCCAAAACCCAGCAAAACAAATTACATTAGCTCTCAAAGCTAAAAATAATCCTCTGTTCTTTGGGACCATCTGGGCGATGACCTGCCCTCCAGACTCTGGGTGTTGGCCATGCTCTCCTGTTTCTGGATGGAGGTCCCTCAGCCCTGGACGTGAATCCCACTTACCTTCAAGGCCCACTGGGATAGCAACTCTGCTGCCTCAGCTTTGGGCGGGCCCCACTCTCCTAGTCCATCTGAGTGGTGACCCCATTCCCTCGGCCGGGTGCTTCCATTCTCCTGGTCCTTGGGTATGGCAGCTCTACCCCCTCAGCTTTGGGTGGTAGCCCCATCCTTTTGGCCCACCTAAATGGCAGCCCCACACTCCAGAACCAAGGTGGTGGAGCTCTGACTCTTTGAAACCTAGGAGGCAGTTTTCCCACCCTTTGAAACGGCAGTGGTTCCACCCTTTGAAATGGAGGTAGCCCAGCCCACTATGGTCCCTCCAGTAGTTCTGCTGATCGCCAAACTGTTCCCAGGATGGTACCTTCCTTTTCTTTGAGGACAACAGATATTTGCAGCTGAGTTGCTCCATTGGCCTATCTCCTCCCTGTAGAATTCCAGGAGGGAGGCCCTTTCCGTCATTTTGTGCTGTCTCTGTCCCTTTCTGCTGCCGTGGCTGAATAGATCCCATCAGTCACAGGCTTAATCTCTTGAATAAAAGATTGAGTAGTCACACCCTTGGTAAAAGTTTTTCCAGGACACTTTTCCTTAGTTTGTACAACATAGTTTTCCAAATCTTTTAAGTTCTGGTTTCATTTTGTACCATTTATTTTTAAGTCTGTCTTTTTCCTCCTGCATTTTGCTATAAGCAACAAGGAGAAGCCATGCTGCCCCTTTAAGATCTTGCTTAGAAATCTCCTGAGTCAGATATCCAAGTTCATCACTTACAAGTTCTACCTTCCACCAGGCATTTGAACATTATTCAGACAAGTTCTTTGCCACTGCATAAAAAGCATCACCTTCCCTCCAGTGTCCAATCACATGTTCATCATTTGCTTTAAAGCCTCATCAGAGCACATGTAACATCCACATTTCTAGCAGCATTCTGTTCATGGCGATAGAAGCTCTCATCGGAGCTCTCAATTCTTTCTGCGCTCTCATCAGAATTGCCCTAAATGTCCATAATTCTACCAACAGTCTGTTCAAGGCAAACTAGGGCCTTAGTATGAAGCACATCAGAATTCCTCCAGCTTCTACCATTAGCCAATTCCAAAACCACTTCCACATTTTAGGGATCTGTTAGAGCACCACCCCACTCCCAATACCAAATTCTATCTTAGTCTCTTAGTGCTGCTGTAACAGAAACACCACAAGTTGGTAGCTTTAGCAACAGATTGATTTTCTCACAGTTCAGGAGGCTAGAAGTCCAAATTCAGGGCACCAGCTCTAGGGAAAGGCTTTTTCTGTGTCGCTCTGGGGGAGCTCCTTGTCTCTTTTCAGCTTCTGTTCCTGGGTTCCTTGGAGATCTTCATGTGGCGGCATCTATCTTCCCCCCACCTGTGCTTGCTTGCTTCTGTGCCTAATCTGCTCTTTTTGTTTCTCTCATACCCTGCACTGACATGGCCTTATTAACATTACAAAAAAAACTCCTGTTCCTAAATGGGAATACATCCACAGGTATAGGGGTTAGGATTTCCAACATATATTGTTGGGGACACAGTTCAATCCATAACATGGGCTGAGTTTGTTTTAAGCTCTTCCATGATCCATTTCTAACTCCCTCTCCCCTGAACGGTAATGCATTGTGTGATTCCTTGGCTGAACTGTATCAGTTTTCTACTGCTGAAATTAACTGCTGTTTTATTTACTCACGATCCTGCAATCTGGGCTCAGGTCGTCTGAGCAGTTCTGCTGGTCTTGCCAGTGGTCCCTCCTGTGGCTGCATTCACCTGGCGAATGGGCTCAGCCGGGATGCTGGGGTGGCTGTGCCTGTATTTCTCTCCGTGTGGCCTACAGATGGGACTTTTCTCTATATGGTCTCTCCATGTGGTCTCTGGCATGGTAGTCAGACTTCTTATGTGGCAGCTGTGGGCTCCCAAGAGTACAGATGGGAAAACTGCCAGGCCTTCTTAAGGTTCAGACCCAGAACTGCACACCATCGCTTCCGCCACGTTCTGTTGCTTGAAACACGTTGCAGCCCTGGCTCAGCTTCAAGAGCTGGGGACTGTACAAAGGCATGAATAATGGGAGGCCTGGTTCGTTGGGGGCCATAGGACCACACTCACCTTTCCAGGACGTTGTGTTTTTTCCTTTCGCCATGCCAAGTGATCAGTTGACTTTCACTCTGAGTCTTGCCGGGATTACATTTGGAAAACTTTTAGGCGGTCCTTAGAAGAATGAGGGAATACAAAACACCAGCTTAGTGTGTTCACGCCTGTGGCATGTTGTTTTGATTTTGCTCAGAGTAATTAATTAACAGAACACAATTATGGAAACTGTAATGTTTGTAAAGCTTGGCACCTCTGAGTATTTGAGCATATCCAGTCATAAATCATTGTAAGTTATTAAAAAATGCAGGGTTATTTATACTTATATGTATATTTTATATCCTCAATTCAGAAGAAAGAATTTTTTTCTGTGCTAGCATGAAAATTAACCATTTTTTTGAGGGATACACTTTCATGATTTTTTTCACTTTATTAATGTATTTCTTTGCCTTTTTCTGTCACAAGTTAAAGATAAGCCATAGGCTTCTCTATGTTTTTTGCACTTTCCAAATAAATGTTTTAGAGCTAAAGTTTTACATTTAAATTTTAAGTAAAATCATAAAACGTTTTGGATCTCTTTCTTAGGGAAGCACAAAAGATACGAGGAATGATTTCTTTGATGTTTCTACCCTTAGATCCCACTTAGTATTCATTGAGAAATAAATAGGACATAAAGAGTTCATGATTGGTGGGATGATTCAAAGCACAGGTAACTATGAAAGAAAGCAGAAATTCCATAAAAGAGCCACCTAGTATTGGGTATTTAGAGGAGGGAGGAAATGTTTTACAGAAGTAAAATGGCATTTAAACTTGTCCATAAGTTTCCAACAATAGAAACTTCAGATTTGTGGCAAGTAGAGATGACTTTGAAAAGGCATCCCCAGAGAGTGTGGAAGAAGAGACAGAGCAGTCTTGTGTATGGGATTGTTTAAGAATCAAAGAGTTACGTACTTCGTTTCAAAATGTTAACAGAGTTTGTTTGTGTGTTTTAAGTGGACTTTGAGTTCTGTTTGAAAGACTAGAAAGCTATTTTCATTTTGAATGAGAACCACTGGTTATGCTAATGATGGTTCCCATAACACCTATGTTCTTTGTCTCAAGTTGTAACCATCTTGAGATGCTCCAGGAAGAGGGCTGGGATAGGTTGGCTTACACTGTAAGCATGTGGCTTAGAGGGAAGAAAAAGGTGATGTGTCCTCCAGGTGTCAGGGAAACTTGCATGTATATTCCAAGAAATGACCCGAAATTCTTTACCTATTTAGATAATAATACTAGAAATGAAGCAAAATGTAGAAACTTGTAAAGCATTTAAGAATTGTTTGCATGGATATGGGTGGAATTCACTGTGGTATCATGTTTGAAACAATCTTTGAAATTTAATTAAAATTTGGTGATTATGGTTTTATAGGTGTACCCAGAAAAATGATGAAAAGGATGAGGAACATGGATTACATCTGGATGAGTCCCTTGAAATCAGGCAAATTAAGCTTAAATTAATTTTTAATATCTTACTATAATTTTAATACCATAGGCACAAGCACACTATAGACTTCTATATATATAAATATATTGCTGCTTTTCTGTTAATTTTTAATAATTATGTGGGCAAGTTTCTATTTTCTTTAAATATTTTTTTTTTTATTTTGTGAGGTTCCTGCTTTTATTTCACATTTTCTCAGTATAAAAAATCCTGAACTTATTATTGTCTATATTACTCCTTTTTATTTTTTTCTTGAATTAACTTGAAACTAAAATGTGTTTTAAAAACTTTTTTCTGTTACTTGAAATAAGAGTCTTAAGCTACAATGGTAGTTTGTCACATCTTGTTGTTCCACAACTATAGGTTCATTAAAGAATTTTTATTATGAACCTATAATAAGTTTCAGTTCAACCTTTGTTAAAGGAAATAACATGTTTTCACGTACAGGTAACCAGTATATTCAGTGTTAAGCAGTTGTTTTGTTTTTCTCACTTAGTATTGTCCCATGTACACATTTCCAGGGAGTCCCTGGGTGGTACAAATAGTTAAACAGTCAACTGCTAGCTGAAAGTAGCAGTTCGAACCCACCCAGAGGCGCCTCAGAAGACAGACCTGGTGATCTGCTTCTGAAAGGTCACAGCCTTGAAAACCCTATGGAGCAGTTCTACTCTGCGCGTATGGGGTCGCCGTAACACGAGGGCACCTACCAACAACAACATACACATTTCCGTTCACGTCGTGGCCCATGGCCACCTTTTTTAACCGCCCCTCTGTGGAACGTTTTGTTTTATTTCCACTTTGTAGCTCCTTGTAAAAGTGTTGCTATGAACAACTTGGTAGAGGTTACTTTTTTCCTTTGGAGTATTTCCTGGTAGTATAGCGTCAAAATAGAATTACTGGGTCGAAGGAGGAGGGCTGTTTTATAAAGTTTGTTAACGTAGTCGGATTGCACTTCACCATCCTGACCAAGAAGTGAACCGGTGCTGGGCCCTCGCGTGTCTCTCAGCGTCCCCACCAGATTCTCACTTTCTTCTCTGATCACTGTTAGAGCAAAGAGGACCTGTGAGTCTGTGTGCTGTATGGTAAACTATTAGGCACGGAGTCACTCTACCAGATGTTATGTAAGGCTTTTTGGGGCATGATTCCAAAGCCAACCAGCCTTCAGCCTTTATGATCTCATGGGCTGAATTTTTTTTAAGAAGTTTTTTTTTTTCCCCCTTTAATATTTGCAGAAACCCATTTGCAAATGAGAAAGCGAAACTGGAAGAGCGCATAAAGAAAAGCAAAGAGAATTATGAAGAGGTCCATGAAAGAGCTGTGGCTGCAGAGGTGAGTCCCAGGCTGGGTGCTCTTGGCACTTGGGGACTGACAGTGTTGCAGGATGTCATCTGTTTGCTTTTGTGTTTAATTCTTCCGGAGACATCACAGCAGTGCTGAAGAGTATGAAGGGTAAGGACTATCCTTTCACCCATAATCTGGCCTCCCAAAAACCACCACTCTTTTTCCTTGCCTGCACCTTTTTTGGAGTCCCTGGGTGGTACAGAAAAGTCAAGCACTTGACTACTAGCTGAAAGGTGGTGGTTTGAACCCACCCAGAGGTGCCGAGGAAGATGGGCCTGGCAATCTGCTTCCAGAAGGTCACAGCCTTGAAAACCCTATGAAGCCCAGTTCTACTCTGATACACATGGGATCGCCATGAGTCAGAATCAACTCAACAGCAACTAACAACAGCATACCTTTTTTAATTTTTTATCCTTACACTTATGTTGTGACATAGATGTACTCATAGTGTACATCAAATTTCATAACCCGTTTTCTTTATTTAACATAATTTAAAGATTTCTCATGCTTTACACTTGGAATGGCTACATCATATTCAACAAACCATGTACTATGAAGTAGCTAACCATAAAACATATTTCTCAATCCTTTAAAAGGAACTTGAAAATAATCTACTTATTAAGAATATACTCCACCCCCCCCCAAAAAAAAAAAAGAAGAATACATACCAATGTCAGTGTACTATTTGAGAAACTACTGAGACAAAAATCAAAATTATGAGGTCTGGGTATGTTTTAATTAAACATTTGTAGTCCTTGAAATATGGTTGTCTATATTATTCTAATTGAGAAGTAAATGTCATTTATTGGTGTATGTGTCTTGAGTATTCTGTGAAAATAAGAAAAGTCTTAGTTTATGCAGTCCCATAAAATATGAGGCTTTTCTGTCACTTAATAATTAAAGAAGGGCTATGCAGCTGCTTCTAAGGAGAGGCAGGAAAAAAAGAGCCTAAGTACTTAGTATGTTAGTGCTGCTATAACAGAAATACTATAAATGGGTGGCTTTAACGAACAGAATTATTTTTTCACAATTTAGGAGGCTAGAAGTCTGAATTCAGGGTGCTGGCGCTAGGGGAAGGCTTTTTCTCTCTGTTGGCTCTGGAGGAGGGTCCTTGTCTCTTCAGCTTCTGCTTCCTGGTTTCTTGGAGGTTTCCATGTGTCTTAGCATCTGTCTTACCCTATCTCTGCTCACTCGCTTGCTTGTTTAATCTCATTTCTATCTCAAAAAGAGACTGACTCAAGACAAACCCTATAGTGATCCTGTCTCATTAACATAACAAGGACAGCCTATTCCCAAATGGGATTATAACCGCAGGCATAGAGGTTAGAATTTACAACAGATATTTTTGGGGGACACAGCTCAATCCATAACATTCCACCCTTTGGCCCCCCAAAATTCATGTCCTTGCCATATGCAAAACACATTCACCCCATCACATCATCCCAAAAGTTTTAAATCAACTCCAAGTCCAAAATCCCATCTTCTGAATCATCTAAATCAAATATGGGTGAGATTTTAGGCATGTTCCATCCTGGGACAAAATTCCTCTCATCTGGGAACCTGTGAAATCTAGAATACAAATTATCTGTTTCCAAAGTACAGTGGTGGAACAGGCACAAGGTAGACATTCCATTACAAATGGGAGAAATTGGAGGGAAAGAAGGGATAATGGAGCACCAAGCAAGTCCAAAACCCAGCAGAATATATTAGCTCTCAAGGCTTGAAAATAATCCTCTGTTATCGGAGACCATCTGGACAGTAGCCCTGCCCTCCAGATGCTGGGTGGTGGCCACGCCCTCTGGATTCTGCATGGAGACCCCTCTGCCCTGGGCTTCAGCTCCACCTTCCAGGCCCACTAGGACAGCAACTCTGCTCCCTCCACTTTGGGAAGCCCCGTTCTCCTAGTCCATCTGAGTGGTGACCCCACCCCCTCAGCTTTGGGCGGCGGTCTCATCTCCCTGGCACACCTTAGCAGCAGCGCGACACTCCAGAACCAAGTTGGCGAAGATCCAACTCTTTGAAACCTAGAAGGCTGTGACCCCACCGTCTGAAATCAAGAAAGCCCTGCTTCCCGTGCTCCTTCCGGATATTTTTGCTGATCTCTGAGTTGCTTCAGGGATGGTCCTTGTTTTTTTTTGGAAGACAACAGATGTATCTCCTCAGCCTGTTTTCTGCCTGTAGAATTCCAAGAGGTAGACAGCCTTCTTGCCTTTCGTTCTTTTCTCTGTCCCCTTCACGCTAAGCTCATGGGTTTTCTGCTGTGGTAGTTGGTTAGATCCATCAGTCACAGGCTTAATCTCTTTACTGAAAGATTGTGTAGCCACATCCTTGGTAAACCTTCTAGGACGCATGCCCTTAGTTTGTATGACAGAATTTTCTAAGTCTTTTAAGTTCTGTTTTATTTTGCACAGTTCATTTTTAAGTTCATCTCTTTTCTCATTTTACTATAAGCGGCAAGGAAAAACCACACAGCCCCTTCAAGATCTTGCTTAGGAATCTCAGCTAGATATCCAAGTTCATCACTTACAAGTTCTACCTTCCATCAAATATTTGAACATAATTCAGACAAGTTCTTTGCCACTGCATAAAAAGTATCACCCTTCCTCCATTGTCCAGTCACATATTCATCATGTTCTTTTAAGGCCTCCATGAAGCACTTTTAATGTCCACATTTCCAGCAACATTCTGTTGCTGGCACCATACATAAGTATTCTGTTTTCTAAGATGATAGAGACTTCCTCTACAGCTCTCCTCTCTTCCTTTTGAACCCTCACCAGAATTGGCCTTTGATGTCCATAATTCTACCAACAGTCTCTTCAAGGCAGTCTAGGCTTTTACTATTAGGCACCTTAAAACTCTTCCAGCCTCCACCCTTTACTCAATTCCAAAAACATTTCCACATTGTAGGTATTCGTGAGAGCAGCACCCTCACTTCTCAGTACCAAATTCTGTCTTCATTATCCAGTGCTGCTGTAACAAATAGCATAAATAGATGGCTTTAACACACAGAAATTTATTTTCTCACAGATGAAGAGGATAGAAGTCGAATTCAGGGCACCGGCTCTAGGGGAAGGCTTTCTCTCTGTGTTGGCTCTGGAGGAAGGTCCTTGTCTCTTCTGAGCTTCTGCTCCTGGGCAATCTTCATGTGGCTTGGCATCTTTCCTTCCCCATCTCTGCCTGCTAGCTTGCTTGTTTAATCTCTTTTACATCTCAAAAGAGATTGACCCAAGACATACCCCACACTAATTCTGTCTCGTTAACAAAGACAACCCATTCCCAAATGGGATTATAACTGCAGGCATAGAGGTTAGTGTGTGTGTGTGTGCGCGCAGGCACGCGCGCGCACGCACACACGCGTGCACATGCCCACTCTCAAGTGTGTACATTAGGTGAAAATTTACAGGGCAAATTAGATTCCCGTTCCATAGTTTGTACATAAAGTATTTCACAGCCTTGGCTTCATCCCCCCGGTGTGTCATTACTCTCCCCATTTGTGCCCTGGCTTCCTGATTTCCTTTCATCCTGATTTTCTGCCCCTTCCTGCCTTCTCATCTTTGCTTTTGGGCAAATATTGCCTTTTCGATCTGTTATAATTGATTGTTCTAAGGATCATGTTCCTCTTGGCTGTTAGTGTTTATTTTATGGGCTTGTCTATTCTTTGGCTGGAAGGTGTTCTCTGGGATTTGCTTCAATTCCAATTCAGAAGGGTGTCTTAGGGCCATAGTCTCAGGGGTTCCTCCACTCTCTGTCAGACTGGTAAGTCTAGTCTTTTTTGTGAATTTGATTTTTTGTTCTACATTTTTCTCCTGTTCTGTCCAGGACCCTCTGTTGTGATCCTAGTCAGAGCAGTCGTTAGTGGTAGCCAGGCACCATCTAATTCTTCTGGTCTTGGGGTTGTGTAGGCTGTGGTTCATGTAGTCCATTAGTCCATTGGATTAATTGCTCCCTTGAGTCTTTCGTTTGTTTTTTTTTTTTCCCCACTCTACTTTGGCTCTGGACTGGAAGAGACCAATAGTTGTATCTTAGATGGCTGCTCGCAAACAAGCTTTTAAGACCCCAGACGATACTTACCAAAGTAGGATGTAGGACGTTATCTTTAAGAGCTACATTGTGCCAATTGATTTAAGAAAATGTTATGCATCCTACTTTGGTGAGTGGCGTTTTGGGTCTTAAGAGCTTGCAAGTGGCCATATAAGATGCATCAGTTGGTCCCAACCACCTGGGGTAAAGGAGAATGAAGAACACCAAAGACACAAGAAAAGTATTAGCCCAAGAGACAGAAAGGGC